TCCTTGACCTCAGTCTCTTGCCCTCTTCCTCCTTGCAACATGACCCCTCGCCACTCTTGCCACGCTACAGTTGAGTTTGAGGCCAGAGTCAGGCAGCGAAGACGCGTGCGAAGGTGGTGACCGGATGGGCGTGGGAGCTCAACAGTGAGACAGCGGAGCAGTGAAAGACAGCATGAGGGTGAAGAACGAGAGAGGCTAGCGAGGGAAGACAGGCGTCGAGCGTGCAAGAAGACGAGCAGGGGAGGGAAAGCAAGGGAGAGAGGCTGGGTGTGGAGATGGGACGAGACATCGACGTGGCAACCGCAAGAGGCGACGAGCTTGTAGGTCCATATTTCCATATTTGGGCACTGTCGATGATCGTGACGGCTTCCAAACATGGACCTGCGAGCTCGCCGTCTCTAGATCTTGCGCCATCAAGTTCATGACATATGACCAAGTCGAGGCAAAATGTCAGTTTTCTTCCTCACCTGGTGACACATAATGGTTCGAAGCTCTCCAGTTGCTTTTGCCTACGCGAGAGAGCCAGACCAACCTGCGCCGCTTCACTAGGGTGTACTTGCCAGAGCCCGGGCCGTGAAACAGAGGCTCGAAGTGGAGGTGAGATGGCCCGAGATCGCACTCCACTTCTCCCTGAGCGAGTGCGCAATTGAGAGATCCTTGCACTGGCCGCAATGCTCGAATAGTCCTTTGCTCGAGATCCAGTCGATTGTATCTCGAGCGATGTGGAAATAGCCTGAGTAATTTCTCCCTGGGCTCTTCCTAATATACTGTACTGCCAGGGCCATCTCAGGTATGCTACGCTCACGTTCTGTCTCTCTACCAGCTTGCATTTTGATCAACAACTGTATGTCGACATCACGTTTGTGTTCATCACCTGCCCTCTCGAGCTAATTCGAGTTTCTATGGCATACACAACGCATAAATCTCCTGTTCCTTCTCAACAGCGACCCTCTTTCTTGTCCGACATGCGCTGAATATACCACAAAGCCTCTTAGCCTGCTCCTCTAGTGGCCGCTTCTGCCTTGTCTACTGTGCTGCACATCCTTCCAGTTCTGGGGCTTCCTCCGCATTCACTCCTTCCCTTATCGTGAGGGTGGGTCGAAAATTGGAGGCGGACCGCTTGAAAACCTGTCGATCGGAGCTGTGTCTGGGGTGCTTGCGCAGACGGTGTCCCACCCATTCGAAGTTATCCGGCATCAGGAAAATGTTACGGACTTGGACCCATACTTGGGCCCAAGTTCATGTACTTGGACTCAAGTCTGTGTACTTGGACTCAAGTCCGTGTACTTGGCCCCAAGTCCGTGTACTTGGTCCCAAGTACACGGACTTGACCCAAGTCTATATACTTGGGGTACTTGGGGTACTTGGACCACAACTTGGACTTTACATGTTGACTTCAGTATACTCAGGCCTCAATTTGAGCAATTGGCGTTCTATTAGTCACACATCTTGTATACTTCTTATGTAATAATATCTATCATAGACATCTATACACTAGTTGTAAACCAGTCTGTTTTAAGGCTGTAGAAGCAGCTTTATAGTCTATTAGAAGAAGGGCAATAACATGTGATAGAAGACTTTAAGTTGTTACAATGTGCTTGTTTCAGTAGTGATACAGAGGTACAATATCCAGATAATGCTCAAGAATAGTGGTATCAGTGGTGGATGTCCAAGTTCTGCTATGGTACAGGAGAGGATGGTGAAGAATTTCTCGGAGTCCAGCAAAGAGCGCTATATATGGCTGCTATTCTATACTATAGTGTGAGCTTCTGTAGTGTAGTGGTTGAACATGCTGTGTTAGACACTCAATTTGCAGGTCGCTGGTTCAATTCCCTATGGTGGCATTTTTTTTTGCCGCCGCTGCACCCGCTAACAAATATTGTACACTTGACCTTGATCAAGAGCAGCTGTCCTTTGATTGACTTCCATGCATATCATCTTTATTCAATACATCTCACAGTGAACTTGGGCATGAACTTGAACAGGGACTTGGAGGACTTGGCCAAGTACCTGGTACTTGGCCAAGTCGACCTACCCGACTTGGCCAAGTCCATTGGACTTGGGGTACTTGAGGTACTTGGGATACTTGAGGTACTTGGCCAAGCACCCCAAGTACCTGTACAAGTCCATGACGTTTTCCTGATGGGAGATATGGGGCGAGACGGTCTGTAGGGTTCTAAATACTTGGCACGCAGCCAAAACTTGGACGGTAGCGACGGCATGCCAAACATGGTGCACAGCGTATACAACGCAAACACTGCAACGCTCAACCCACACCGACTGTCGTACTTTCTCATTATTCTCGCCATTGGCGTCTGCGTGGATCAGCGGCGCAGTCATCACGTATGGTCGCATGATGCAGAGCGGTTCCATGAGCTTTCAAGAGCAGCGTTATGTGAGACCTCGGTCATTAACAAGCCGAGCATAGACGCGATTAACGCGCTGGTGCGTGCACTTTCATGTGCTGCGGGTCTCCCCAACTGACACCATATTGACAGTTCTACATGTCGCGGTATCTGACCATGTTCTTGGTGGAGAAAGAGGCGGTTGAGTACGCATGGGCGGTCCTGGTTCGTTGGACGATTCTATCGGTCATTATCGACGACTCACACTGAGTTTCATCCTGGCAGGGCATTGCAGCTAAGCTGGCTGTTGGTGTACGTCACGGCTTACTCTCTATCGCGCTCAGGTAGTTCCTGACCCTTATTGCGTTGACAGATCGGTCTTAGTGAGTATTAGAATCGTCGCACCCCATGAACGCTTTACTGACTTTCATGGGCGACATCAGACCGCTATAGTAATCACTCGAAAGTCATCCCGGAAGAACTAGACAGGCGGAAAACGCTTCTCTGGTGCCTGCTCAATGTGGACCACCGTCTGGTAAGATCTTGTTCATCTCAGCCCATGGCCTTTTGAATCTGTTAAGCTGATTACTTAACGCCATCGTACAGGGTTTGATGCTGCGGCGTCCCCCTTCCATATCCTTGCGATATGTTGACGTAGATCCTCCCACTACCAGCGAGTTTCCGCCACAGGGCCCTCGGGAAGTTTGTGCGTGTTTCATCTGCCCTGGCATGTGCCTGATGGTTCTGATACTTTCCGGGCTCATTCGACCACCGTCAGACCAACAATGGCACTACACGTTTGCAGCGCAGTGCTTCTCACCCACCCTCGAGTTCGTCGTGTCGACGACCCCTCCGCCCTACTCGGAATTTGTAGGAATTTCTCAAGCTCGACGCCCAAATGCGGGATTGTGAGCCACCTGCGTTCTTGCAAGTCACACCGGGGACTGGTTCCGGCAATGCACTTTGCGTCGTTCAGACCTGGACGCACATGACCCGCGAAGTCGGTACGTGCTGTAAGCAAGTTGCCGGGATAGCCGAGTTTAATGAAACCTCCGCAGCAATCCTGAACCTGCATACTAGGCAGTGGGTTGACGATCGGGTATCTGAAGGTGATACCGATGACCGCAATCACGCGGTGTGGCAATGGGGAGGCCGATATTGACTCTGTGAGCGATATGAGTTTACGTCTGTTCGCGTAGGGTCGATACGGCTACTCATGAGGAATAGGCCGAGGTTGGTAGGCACCTGCTTGAGCTTACTGCGAGATCTGCAATGTGTCTCTAGCGCACGAATTAGGATCGTAGGACTTCTTTGGCTCTATACTATACATCCCCCAGGTGAATAAGTGTGCAGTGCTCAGGTTGCGCGCATACAGTGGACGTGGATT